GAGAAAAGTTTTTTAAAAATTTTTTTTTTTTTTTTTTAAAAAAAAAAAAAAAAAAAAAAAAGGGGGAGGTTTTGTCCTATTTTTTTTAAATTTGAGATGAGCAGTACGTGGTTATTTTAGCACCACAAGCTCCCCCTTGATCCTTAGTCTTAGTGCTGACAACGTGCTTTTCAGGCCTAGGAAATTTATAAAACAAATTGTGTCTTCAGTAGACTTCTGACAGTTAAAGTTACTGAATCATTTTACAATCTATTTCTGTTTGCAGTATGTCACACAAAAATAATATTTAAGAGTAACATTCAGGTGAATAAAACAACAATAAGATATTTTTAAATTTAGGTCCATGTTATTGAAAAGTTACTCAGCTAAATGTTATCCCAGACTACTACACTATGAAAGGTTTTAAACTGATTGGTAGAACAGCCTACTTCAAAAACATGCATAATTACATTAGATGAAATATACTAATCTGTAGATAAGGCTCAGTACTTTTTCAATGCCTTCAGAAGGGTGGTTATTTTTACACCTGCTTTTCTAGTAACCTGAGATAATACTACTCCTGAAGAAAATTGGTTCAAGACACAGCAATTTAAATCAACTCTGGACATTATTACAGATTGAAGTGTTGAATTCCAGATGAATTAACATACACAGCTTTTAACAGTTACTTTTACAATCCAGGTTTAACAGATCAGAGCTGGAGACAGGAGCAAATGGTACCACCAGGGAGAGAAAAATGTAAAAGTTAAAGAGAAAGTGCAAATCAGGGACAAGGGGCCAGAATCCAGATAAATCAAAGTCTATGATCACATTCAACAGGAACCAAAGATCCACCACTTGTGATGGGAAGGGGAAAGAGGTTTAAATATAACCTAGATATATCCTTAGGATTTCAGAGAGAATCAGAAGATAAAGATAGGATTTTTAACAAGTGCTCAGAGTAAAACATTGAAAAACCGCACATGACGTTAGTTGGACTAGGTCATACCTCCTCCATCTCTTCACTCTTCCTTTTCTCTCCTGGCTTGAACATTTTAAGCACAACTGACAATGTGCTGTCCTGGTGCTTCACCTCCATCTTATTGGGTTGCAGAGGTGTGAACTGGATTTCCATCTCTGGTTTGGGGAACCGACTAGTTTTTCCATTTTCTGTGGACACTTCAGAAGAGTCAAGGACAATTTCTGAATGGTCCTGCAAGCATATGTAAATTTTAAGAAAAAAGTTTAAAAGAACTGAGTTAAAAAACTATAATACATATCCCCTCCCAGTAAATTGCAAAGCAAGCATTCCATTTTCTAGCTGTTACCTTTTGGAACACTCCTACTATAAATGAAGCTACTTCAACTATAGGAGAGTTTAACTCTTATTTTTTAAAACTTTTTTGTTATATTTTAGAAGGTTAACATAGCTATCTATGATCAAAGAACTTAGTTTTCCTTGCTGAACTCAGCCTGATGCTTTGTTTCCAAGTCATTTTCCATAAGGGCAGACAGTCATGGTTTTCACAGCCAGCAGTAATAGAATCGACATGATTTTCTTCAAACACTGCTGCTCCTTAGGAACTAGGCAGTAATAAGAGCTTTTGAAAGATATTTCTCTAGCTTATCTTTAGGCACCTTTCCCTTCCCATTCTACACTCAAAAATTTAATTGTGCAAGTTTAATTGTGTAAGTAACATGGTCCAACTGGCAAGCTACAAGTCAAATTCAAGCTATAAGAGACTTCTACATGACTATCTGTTCTCTGGAGGCAGAACCATTGCCTGCAAGCTGAAGACCCTGTCTCGTAACTGCTTACATCAAACCGTAAGAACTGCACAGTGAGGGTGGGATGGAAAGGTCAGTTTGCACAACTCTGCTTCCCCAGCAGCACTTACCTTCCACCATCCACCCAAACCTGTTTTTCTTAGCAAAAGCAGGAAGAAAGTCAGAGCTGTGTTGACTAATAAAAACATTTTTCTTTATAATTGCTACTTCATGAAAGAGTTAGCAATCAAAAAGTTACATAGGAATGGTTAGTGTCATTAGCTAACAAAGCTACACAAAGGAATCCTGCAGTGGATGATAGCAAATCCAATTTACCATTTAAAAGGGTTTATATTTTTTTCAGGTGGCTTATCTAATAATCAGCCACTTCATAAGTATCAGTGAGAGGTAACTTTTCAAGAACACACAATTGAAATCAAATATAATTATTCACATTATTGTTATACAGCTTTTATTTCTACCAAAAGCCACTAAATCAGGTGATCTGATCACCAAGAAAGGTATTTGCAGAATACGACTTTAGAGTTGTTCAGACAACAGGTCACATTTTCTTCCCTATTCTGCATTTAGCAGAATACATATAACTACATAAAATTTTCAAATTTAAAGTTTTATACCAACCTCACTTAATGAAGATGTACTGCTAGGACACTGAGAATAATTAATAATTTCCTTTAACTTCATCATATCTTACTAGAATACTTTGTCCAGCTATAGGATTAATTTTGCTTTGGTTTTCCATAAACTGTAAATACTTAGAATGAGTAAAGATCATGCTAGACTGTAAACTTAAAAATATTTTGAGTTTTCTAAAGTCACAACATAAAAGCTCAAGCACAGACAGCTAATGAACACCTGGGCTGAAAGACAACACAAGTTTAAGGAAGTAACATCTATTCACAACGTGATTGTAAGATGTGCCCTGTTGGGTTTCAACAACAGTCCACCTAGTTCAATATTCTGCCTTCAAGACTAGCAAAGGAAGATGTTACTTAAGCTTAACACGTGTGATCTTCTGGCCACTTTGTCATCTGTTCCCTCCATGCTCCCCCAGCACTCTTAGTTGTTGCATCAGAAGTGTCAGAGAGTACACCTCTGCCTAATCCTCAGAGCATCCATTTACAAATACATTTATGGATTTCTACTACAATTTTTTCTAATTCCTGATGAAAGTATCCATTTCTATCACCTCCAAAAGATCAGCAGCTGAATCATGTAGGAATATGTTATTTTAACTGTTTTAAAGTTATCTCCTGTTAGTTTCAAGTGCTGCCCAGTTCTTGCAGCATTTTAGGAAGGACAATTCTGCCTTCTGTTTACCCTCCACAACCATGATTTTGGAAGCCTCCATCTCATAATCCTCCAGTGGCCTTAACCTCTCCTCATGAGAATGACAGCTTCTTAGTTGCTCCTCACAAGGCAGGAGATAAATATTGCCTTGATTACTTTAGTTTTTCTTCTTTATCTCTACCATGTCTCTCCTGAGAATTATTTGACTTCTCCTCAGAACTTTACGCCATTCACTTCAATACCACTATAACCGTTTCTCACACAATAATCCTGTTAGCAGCCTCTCCTTCTTCATAACTCCAAGCACTGTTGCTACTGGTTTGAGGTAAATGCTTCAGAACCAACTGTTCACAACGATTCCTCTTTATAATTAATTTTATGGTGCTCTCTTAGCTGCTACTAAAAAGCTGTAAAAAGCAGTAACCTCTCTGAGAGCTATTCTGTCCTTCCTCATACATGACAAGCTTTATCTACACAGTACTAGCTGAATTGATGAAGTATCAAGAAACTAGCCAGATAAGTCTTATTTGGCAGTGGACAGGAAAGAGATGAAGAAATGCATTATGGCATTCAGTCCAGTTCTGCAACAAGAGGAGAATCACATCTTCTAGCAGCCAGGGGAGGGACTGCTAGGATATCCATGTTCAGCTTTGTTCTTTATTAGTTAGCAAAGGAGTCACATAGCATTAATTCAGTTTAGCAGAACCACCTCATTAAATGCTGCTCATGTAGCACACAAGGGTTTGGTCAGAATCAGGAGTCTCAGTTGCAACCCTTTTAATTTTTGTTCAGGAAATACACAAAGTTGATATTTTCTTTGTGCAAACTTCAAATATTATTTAGTTTTTGTTTTAAGTGGGATGCAAAATACTGTTATGTTCTTGTGAACCCCTATATGGGCTGGCAGCTCTAATTACAGAATCAACTCTGTTACCACTATAGGAAAGTTATTTGAGCTGAAATCCACCTAACATTAAGATAACTAACCTGAGATGACTACAAATACTGTCTTCAATTCTGTAAAACCTAGATTAATTAGTTTTTCTCTCAGGTATGTAAGTTCTATAATGTATAGAGAAGTGGTAATCTATTGACTAAAGTACTTTTTTTCTGAGAGCGAGCTTGAAAGAGGGAGAGAGAAAGAATGAACTCAGAAGTGAAGATATAGTTAAAATACTATGAACTATGAAAAGTAACTTTTGGGAAATTCTAAATCTTGCTGAAATATATACTGAGAAAACAACAAAACAGATGTTATTAACAACATGTAATTAGCATATACTTTCTATAAATAGAACAGACATACCTCTTTGTTCACAGACTGATCTATTTTATCTTGTCCTTCTTCAGGTAAAGGTACTTCTGCCAAAGACTGTAGACTTTCATGGTTAATGCGTTGTTTCAATTCCTTTATAAAGTCATCTTTCTCATCCAGTTGTTTTCTTAGTTGTTCTATATCAGTTTCCTTATCCTAATAAACATAGCAAAAATTCACACAGATTGCAAGATCAGCAGAAAAAACTACCATATGCATGAGCGCCATTATGATTACATGGTAGCACCAGTTTTAGAATTGCAGGCTAAAACAGTCAGCTATTCAACAACAAGCCAATAATTTCATGTATGAGTAGCCACAATTTAAAGTGAAGAAAAAAGTCATAAAATAGCCTGGAAAGATGTAATGCAAAATTTTTGTTTTACTCTATGTAAGTACTCCCATTCACCATCCCATGATGAAGTCCTTGGTGCTGTGAAAAATGCAGCAAGTATAATAGTTGTTTCAGATTTCCAGTCCACCTTTGCAATTAAGGGATCAAGCAGACCTGAGTGTTTATTTGAACTACTAAATATTTTGAAACTTCAGTTATTGTTACAAATTCAGTTTCAAAAATCATAAATAAAGCTTTTTTTTTTTTTTAATGAGCTGCAAATAGTTTAAATATGATAGTGTTTAAGAACAAAAAATAGAGCAAAAATGCAAAGAGCAAGTATAGTGTTTTGCAGAATTAATGTATGACCAAAAAATCATACAGGAACAAGAAAGAGAGGGATATGACCTTTTCTGAATCCTTTAGAGCAGTCAGTTTTAGTTCTGCTATTTCTTTATCTTTTTGTAAGGAGTTAGAAGCTAAAGTCTTGAGCTGTACTTCCAAAGCTTCTACTAATTTATCTCTTTCTTCACGCCATTTTTGAAGACTGCTGTCCTTTTCTACCAGCTGTGCAGCAAGTTTTTCCTAAATGGGGAAAAAATAGGTTAGAATTGAACACCACTTCTACACACTATGTGATCTGTTCTGGTAGTTCAGTTTCACATAGTTAATGCTATTTTATGGCCTTAGTAAACTTTAAAATCTATGTAGATCTTGAAAAGTTCACACACAACTAGTTTCACTACAAATATGCAAAAGCAAGCCATATTGTCATTAGAAAATATGTATCTTATATTTATATTCATTGTGAAGATAATTTTTTACAAGAAGCACCACTCCTGTTTGCTCACTCTGTGATTTTGTTACTAACAAGTCTCAGGCAAGCAGTCACAAAGGGAGAACATCCCTAACCATGTAACATCATCCTGTACCTTGCAGGTCCAGAAGTCATCGCCAACTACTTCTAGATGCAAGTGTAGTTTTAGATTGTACAGCTTCATATAATAATTTCATATGCTTAAGAAATGGCAACTTTGATGCAGTCTAGTGAAAAGGCAAGGTATCCACCTTGTTATTAACTATCAGTCACTCTACTTGGAAAGCAATATGGGAGCAAAACCACTAGCATTTTGACCAAGTATTTTTACTCTATATCTGGAAAGAAGCTTTTTATGTCACCTTCTGCTTGCTGTCTCTCTTCCTTCTAAAGCCTCACAGACTTTTTTTTTTAAAAAAAGCAAAGCAACAAATCTTGGTTTTCAAAGTATGTTTCCTTAGCTTCACTAAGTAGCAGTTAATTTGAGTGTAGGTTACTTATTTGAGTTTTACACACAAGATGAAGTTTGAAGAATTCATAGTGAGCTGGTAGTAGGATAGAAAGGAACAGATATATTAACTTCTATTACATATAAGCTTTTTCATTTTGTGACCCTCCTATTCTTCCCTTCTAATACTTAGAAGATTCTCATCTAGGCTTTGCCATGTGATGAAGTGAGGGGACTTTGACAAAGGCCAGCTACCCTCAAGCACCCACACTGTTAACACTTAACATGGAAATTGCTCTGTACTGAAGTCTTACGCTAAAGGACTCTACTGAGACCTCCAGTCACTTACAATTTCTGCTTGTTGTTCTACATGATGTTCTCTGTGTTTTCTCATTTCTCTGTTGCAATGGCTCTCAGCTTCTTTTATTTGACTTACGAGTCCCATCTTTTCCTCCAGCCACTTCTTTCTATCAGTTTGATACTTTGTCTCATTTTCCTATTTTAATGAAACCATAAGTAAAACCATAGTTAGAGATTAAACAAAGTCTTAAAATCCAGATTACTACTAAATGAATTAGTTTCAAAAACGTAATAGACATATTAGCACAGTTTTACTCCAGCATATTTACAGGTGCAAGTATTACAGTCTCATTTATTCTTTTCTGTAAAAAAATTTAAAAATTTTCAGCACTTCTTATTCAGACTGGCATGTCTTTATGGAACAGAATTTTTTTCCTCTAAAAATGCTCTGGTTAAGTCAAACACAATAAAAGTTGCACTAAAAGTAAGGGCAAAGAGACCCAGTCTTTTATGCTGACTTACAGGACATGCTAGAAAACTTACTTTTACTTCAAGACTGAAAGGCAAGGAATTCAGTACAATTTGAATGGTAGGCAAAGACAGCATGTACCTGAGAACATCACTTCAATCCACAGCAACTTTGCCTCCTTTTCTATCACAGTCAAACCTCGTCAGACATTTTCCCACATAAGACAGAAGGTACCCGAAAAGCTGTTTAGAAAAAAGTCTACTTTCTAACCCAAGAAGAATTAAGTCAGCCTAACAGGAAGGGCTTACAGGTCATACAGCAAGCACAAGATCTTGAAAGAGTCTGATTTAGTTGCCCAAGTAGTTGAACATGAAAGAGGTTTGAAATGGATAGCAGGAGTTGGGTTGGTTAAGACAACTGTAAGAGGACCCCAGGTACAGAAGCACCATCCTTGGCAGCATAACATAGAGAAGGGTGCAATCCATCAGTGATACCATGTATTACAAAGACACTGCATCCAGACATTGCTGCACTGGTGCACTGCAGCTTTTAGAGTTTTCCTTTATTGGTGTAACAACTTGCCATATCATGCCCTAGCTCTTGGAGACAGTGACACACAAAAAAATTTAGACTCTTAAATGAAAGTTACAGCTCTAAAACTAAGTATGAATTACATCACCATATTTTACCTTCAGTTCTTTTTGCAGCTTTATTAATTCTTCATTTTCATTTATGTTTTTCTCCTCATTTTTGCCCATCTTTTGCTGCCAGTCACCATCGCTCTGGTTATTCAGCCCTCTATATTTCTCTTTCCATGCTTCCAGTTCTAGTCAGTACACAAAATGAGGTTACATAATGCATAATTTCAAAGGCATATTTCATCACATTCACATACTTCTACTAAAATTACTTGGATTTATCACCTACGACCACAAAGGGACAACAGAAGCCTTTAACTGTTAGACGTTTGTTATGTACTACATGAAATTAATGACTAAATAACAGTCAAACACAATTGTAAATTTAAAGCAGCTATTACAATACATCCAAACCAATTTTGCCTCCCTGCTCCCTTTCCCTGGAGAGATTACCCAAAACTAATATGTTGTTCTCTTCTAGTTGGGCTTCAAGCACCCGATCTTGTTCAGTCTGGGTCTGCTCCTGTTGTTCTAGTGTCATCCGCATATCTTCAATTATTTTTTCCTTTGCACACAGATCTGAAGATTTGAAAAAAAATTTACAGATGAGCCCTCTCCTCATTCTCACCATTCTCTCCTAAAGTGCCTTTATTACAACTCATTTCCTCCATTCCCTGAGATCAAAAGCTCTATTTTCTAATAGAGCATCTCTATTTAACTATCCAAATCCAAAATTCTTAAGTGATTCTCATCAAGTTGATTTAGGTGAGCGTTTCAGTGTTAACATCAGTCAGACTATGGCTTGTATTATATGAAAAACTAACCATTGTTCAACTGCTAAATGTTTATAAAACCTGGAGAAACTGTTATTGTGCTAGTTCACGTTTCAGTGTTTGGTTTTATTAAAATAGTCAACTAAAATGGCAAATACCAACATTTAATAAGTTAACACTGATACAGCAAATCCACACTTTTTCTGGGGTTTACATTTCTTATTCTAAGACTGTTTCTTTGCTTTCAAATATACCTGCTAATAACAATTCTATAAAAATTAGTTCCTGACTAACATTTTAATGTCTAGGTTGGAAGTTCTCAGTACTTTAAAATATAAATATACAACATGACAACTCATTATGTTGCCATTCCATACACACAAACACACATACACACACACACACACACACACACACACAAAGGAACAACAATGGCTTTTTCTGACCTTTACGTGTCTTCTCATATTGTTTGGAGATTTCTTCCAGCTTCGCATTATTCAACTGCTCCTAAATATCACATTGAAAGCAAATTAAAGAAAACATCTTGGAAGAAGCAAATATATGTGACAGAAATGAGTAGCCTATCATTCGGAGCTTTAGTAAGTAATGAATAAAGTATTTAAGACAAACAGTCCAGAATAAATAAGTTTTTCATATAGTGCGAAGTAACACTCAAGCTGATAAAAAAAAAAAAAGAGAGAAAATGTTTAGAGGAAGACATTAGTACTAACATATCTAAGCGTCGCCAATCGGAATCCATGTATCAGCAGATATTAAGTATGTATTTACTAGGCAGATTTTTTAAAACAATTTCACCATGTCCCGCAGTGAGAAGGTCTTTAATCATCTTTCATTCATCCATTAAAACTGATTTCAGCTGGCTACTCTCACTTTTACCCCAATTTCTATAAGCTTTCTCCTGTTGCTTGGAAAACTTGCCTCATTAATGAATTAGTTAAGAAAATCAAGAACAAGTAAAATTTAAAAAAATAAAATACGTTTTTAAGTTGCTGGATTGTGCGCTGTTTGATCTCTAATTCTTCACTAAACCGGTTTTTAAGTTTCTGAAGTTCATCAATTTTGTTCCTGAGGTATTTTTCGTCAGATCGCATTATGTTCACCTGTAACAATGCACAAAGACAGGAAGCAAAGCAAACATTTAGCTATAAACCTTCCACAATCTCTGTAAGTTATCTAAAGATCCAAATACTTTAATTAAGAGTCAAATTTTTGCAAGTATCTTAGCTAAGCTTCAGGAGCTGGAAGTGCACTATAGTGTACATCCTTCCTAGGGAAGGATTTTCACCACTGAATAGACAAACACATTTGGCAAGGAGGGGAAAAACAAACCAAAACACACACCAGGAAACAGCCTGATCAAACTACAAATTCAGTCATCCTTAAAAAAAAAAAAAAAAAAAAGTTATCCCATTCACTCCTTGCTGCTTCCTACAGGATTATACACTGAATGTTGAGTAGGAAAAGGTCTTCAAATGTTAGGCTACTGAGGAAGACATTAATACTTTTTTAAGGCTTAACATTCAAACCCAAATTCTTGCAAGTCTTTTGGATTTTAAGTTCTTGCAATATCCCATGAGGTTCTAAGAAATCCTACTGCTTGATAACCAAATACTAACAATTAACACTAATAAAAGTTATTTCATTTTTTAATTTCTTCTCCTCAGCCTTAACAGAAAACATAGTTCAGATTTTTAAAAGTGTCTAGAAGTTAGTGCTTTCTTTTTCTGATTATCCATCTTCCCAGAGATCAGCATTTTCCACAAGTCTGAGGCTTTGAAGTCAGAACAAATGACAACTAAGTCTACTGTTGTTATAAAGACCTTCTCTATAACCAGATTAGACATAGCTTTCATAAAACTTTTTCGAGTGTATAATAAAATTTACTTATCCCCTTCAATATCTGTACTAATCTGTGTTCTGACATCTGGTCTTATCTTTACCTTACAGCTTCAATAGCAAAGAAACTTTAGATCCACTGTTACTCTAAATTTACCACTCAAAATAGCTTTATTACGAATCACTTTCAACATTCATAGCTTGATATTTGTGAAAACAGGTTTTAATAACAGAACCCCAGGCATAAACTTGCAGAAGAAACATTTGGCCTATAGCTACCAACCTCTTTTTGTACTTGCTGAATTTGTTTCTTGGCATCAGAAAATTTCTCTTTCAAATCTGTATATTCTTCCTCTTTCCTCTGCAAATCTTTTCTCAAACTCCATACGAGGTCAGAACTCTCAGAAAGATCTTTACGTAGCCTTGCGTTAGAAATTAAGAAACATAAATAACATCAGTCTTACACATTTCACATAAACAGCTTTTTACTCATTAACTCAAACTCTTTGACTGATAGTTTTATTCATTAATAAAATCTCAGATCTATTAGATCAGTGACAAGCTTTATAATTTTACTTTTGGATTTCAGCTTCTTATTATATGATCTGGAAGTAACAAGCTGCTCAGATTCACTTCTGAATGCTGCAATTTTTTTTTTTTCCCCTTTAAGCACAGTAGAGTAACCATTTTTGTCATTAGGTGTCCTTACAAAATAGCAAAAGGAACAAGGTTAATATCAAGTAAGTTTAAACTTGACATCTACCTCCCAGACCTTGTAAGGATCCAAATAAATAAAAATCAAAAGAGAATAGAAAAAATAATAACAGTGCAACAAGCACTGCTGTTACAAGTGCTACAAAGTAATCAAGAAGTTTGATGGGTTTACTTTTAAGTGGTGATATTTATTTTAAAAAGTTTACAGTAAGATAACTTGGATTTTTACTTTAAAACTAATTAATAGAAGGTTTTTTATATTCTATAATTGACAATACAAAACAAGGCCCCACAAAAGCAAAACCTTTCAAAATGGGAATCCCCAGACCCTGCTAAATTGTACTTTATATGCAGGTACTCACAGATACAGTACTAGAGAAACCCTAGTCAGGAGAAGAGCTACATAGCATCTTAAAGCTATTTTTACATTATTGCAATTTCCTTATTGTGTAGCAAATAAATTCTCTCAAATACATTTAATCTCTTATTTCTTAAAGATTTAAAACAGATAGGGCTGGAGGAAGTTCTACCCTCCTACACTTATTATTCCTTCAAGTTCTTATAGTATCACCCAGAATAGCTATTACCAAACCAAGATGGTTCCTGTTTACTCTCAAAGTTTCTTTTTTTTTTTCCTTCTTTCTCCTTTTCCTTTTTATCATTTAGTTCTTTCCAGACAAAATGTTGCCTGCTTTTATAGAAATTACAGGATATAACATTAAACTATATGTTATTTCCTCCAGAAAGAGTACACAACATGAAACTATGAGAAATCCACAAATAATTCTAAATTTCCTTGCATGCTCCTGTTTCTCCCTACAATAGTTCCACATGATTTAGATCTATATTTTTGAAAGACTACACAAAAATGTGAGTAAAACAGAGCCAGCAGAATATGCAGATTCAAGTAGTGTATTAAAATTTCTTAAAGAAGCAGTTAGGTTAACGCAGTTGATAAACATGCAAATGCATTATGTAAAATAAAGTGATGTTCACAGATGGTAGTTTTAATTTGAGTCTATTCTCAAAGGGGTACAAGTTATGTCATTATTGACTTACGATTCTATAGCTTGTATTTGCTCATCCTCATTTTTCTCTTTTTCCTGAAGAGAGTGTTTCATTTTCTCCAAGCTGTTCATCAACTGCACAACCTCCTCCTTTAGATTTGCTTCTTGATGATTTAATTCTTTCAGGTTTTTGTCTGAATTGGCACATTTCTCTTGCAGAGCTACAGTATTACTTTCTAGATTTAAAATAATAGATTCTTTTTCTTTAAGTACTTCTTCTAACTTTCTTATGCTTTTATCTTCAGCTCTAAAAGCCTCCACGAGGCATTCAAGCTCTCTTATTTTTCCTTTGTAGCCGGTAACTTCCTCCTCAAACTGTACAATTACTCTGTGACCTTCTGCAGCCTGTTTTTCAAAATCCTGGGTTTTCTGGATTTGCTCTTGTAACTGATTCATAAGATATTTTTCCTTTACAGACTGATGATCTTGATTTGCAGTCTCATTTAATTTTATTTTTAGCTGATTATTGTAATTTTCAGTGTCATGAAGTTCCTTCTTTAAGTCTTCAACTTGTTGAACCAGTTCTTGAATTTGCTTACTTTTTTGTGAAGAGACCCTAATAATATTTTTGCATTCTTCCCAAATGCTTTCAACACTGCAGTAAAAGGAGTTCTCACTTCTCAGATCGCCTGCAGAAGCAGTTTGGGACTGCATGCATACGAGACTTATTTGAGGACTCTCTGGTTCATCTTTTTGAGAATATACAGAATCCTGTAGATTTACTAAATCAATATCCATAGCATAAGACTCTAAGTGGCATTTATACAGCTCATCTACTTTGGACTGCAGTGTTTTAATTTGTGACACTTTATCAATTATATGTTGTTTAGCACTTTCTACTTCGTTATTTAGCTGAATAATCTTTTCCTCTTGTTCCCTATTTGTAGTTTTCTCTTTGCTCAATTCAGAAACAATCTCCTGATAGTCAGCTCGACACTGCTGAAGTTCCTCACTTAAGCCAGAAGCCCTTTCTTCAGAAGCTGAGAGCTTGAGATTCAAGTTTATTATCTGCCCATGGAACTCTTCTTTTTCTCTTCTGCATTGTTCTTCAAGTACAGCTAGCTGACTTTCCAAGGCTTCATTTCTTTCCTTCAGTGCTAGTATTTCTGCAGAGTTCTCACAAGTATTTGTTTTCATGGATTCATTTGTTTTCATGGATTCAGTTCTCTCTTGCTCTAGAGAGTCATCTCCACAACTTTCCCTCATATCTCCTAAAGAAAGAAAGCCAAATAAAAAACATATAGCTCAGTTGATTAAAATCAATAGTACAAGTCACTAGCAATACCAAATAGCAATTACTCTATGGAAAAAGGTCACCTTCTGAAAGCCACACCCTCCTACCATATGGCATTTTGAAGTCTTGAAGCAGTTAAAGCCCACTGAATGGTTTAACATGGAATAGGTACCTCTTCAGCTTCTAGACATAGTTTGCAGCAAGAGGTGTTCAGGAGCCTTAAAGAACACTTTGCCAGGGCTCTATTCCAGCCTTCTACTCTGCACCGCTAGCAGAAAAGTCTAGCTAATTTTACTAGTATGTAGTAATACTTATGAGTTAGATAACATTCACAGTTATAGCCAGTTTCCATCTTCATTGGTTTAACAATCCCTTTGATACAGCCAGCAATCACCCATTTTACATTTAGAAGAGCAATAGTATTGTATACTTTCCTGAGAAGCTTCAATCATACTCAATATTGCCTTACTTTAAAAACGAAGCTAAAAATCCAGCACAAGTTTTTCACTTAGTGTTTGGGACCTTCATCTCTTTTTTCCTATTGGTTTCTAAACTACATCAATAGTTTCTCCCAAAAAGATACAAAACATTCCATTACAACCCCAAATTTCTGTACATATTTTATTAGCTTAAGACTAATTTTCCCTAAGTAATAAACAATTCTAACTGAAGTCACCTGCATTTCATGACCTTCAAAATTTACTGCAGCTGCGTTTCACACAAGTGTTTTAGAATACATCTGTGTTAATTAAGTAACATGCATGCTGTTTTAGTATTAAAATTGAGCCTGACTATCTCTAGGGACTAGAGATACACAACTGTCTCTAGGGACTAGGTCATCACAACTGTGTTCTCCAGAGCAATGCTATGGATTCTTGTGAGTATTGCAGCTACAGTAGGGTGGAGTTTGGCAGTCATCTCACTTTGGGAGCATGAAGCACATGGGTACATGTGTACTGCATGGAAACATCCTCTGAATAGATCCAACAAGTTTTATACAATCACTAACTTTGAGTCTCTAACAAAGAGTCATACTGAAGCATTAGCAATACCTTTTCCCATCTCAATTCAGGTTTTGTTTTTTGATTACTTTTGAAGGTGATCAAATTCCACAGGACAGTTTTTTTCCACCTGCTTTTCTGTATCTTTTCTGTTCTAATTGGACATATCAAGTGCTCCTGCTAGGTCAGACACAGCAGCAAGTTTAGTTTGGCTTGTAAAGCCATGTTTCTAAATACTATGAGATTAAAAATTTTGGATTGAGAGATTGTTTTCTATGGAAGCTGTGTAGTCCCAAGAAGATATATTGGACAAAATACTATATATTCCTCACACTGAACGTGAATTTTACATACTTGACTAAAAGGGAGAGGTGCTGAGGTAGCTTAAGACATATTTTGTGATCTAAGGTGGCAAGATGAAAAAAGTAGAGCTTAGCCCAATATCCATAGTGAGAAGGATATGAACAGTCACAAGAGGATTTAGAAGTGGTCTAGATGCTTTGTACTGACACCCACAACCATAGAGCATATCAGGATAAATATTAGTGCAAGAAGATACATGACATTCAGTCCAGAAGGTTTTTATGTAGAAGATACTAAGAAAAACCACAACCCCAAAATACAGAAGGCAAGTCTTACAGAAAGGCAAAAAAACCCTGAAATTCAAGACAAGATAACTTATCTTCCCCCAAAAGAAACTTTGGTCATAGGCCTCTAGCATGTCTAAATTCTATAAGTAAGCCATTACAGTGTAGTTGTGCTCATTGTTCTATTGTGTCAAGTACATTTAACAAGAATGGTTAAATTCTTAATTATGGAGCATCTAACAACTCAATTTTAAAATCTTATTCCTTATATTCTTAGCACTCACAAATGAAATAGTTTTAACATAACCAAATAGCCTGTTCTTCCCCACAGAAAATTTTCTGCGCTGACATTAATTGGCACTGTTAGTTCTCCACATGAATTTGTTTGAAAAGTGCTATCACTTTTCTATTTTTTGTTTGTTTAAATAAGCTTTAGTTATGAGATTATAGCAAACCTACTACTATCTAGTATATCAAGGCGTCTACGTCAGCTTTCTTTCCCACCCCTTTCCTGTAATGTTCATATAGGTGGAACCATCAAATGGTCATGCTAGGACCCAATATTCATCCCAACCAAAGATGGTAGAGACAAACCAGAGTTGTATCTGGTACAAAGATAGAAGCTTCTCCTAAGAAAGACTTCAAGTAACATTTATTTCAACAAGTTGTGCAAACATCAGAAATGCCCTACTGGATCACACACTATCAGTTCATCTAGCCTAATATTTTATGTCCTTTTGCTACTGTTGGTGGGCCCATTCACATCCTATGGACCTTTCCTGACACAGAACAATCGGGAATGTTGGAGGAATATGAGACAATACATCCCTGCTTAAGCCTTTCAGTATCCATGTATGAACCTGTTGGCTGTTAGCCTGTCTAGCTACTCCTGGAAACTGAGAATTATCTGCCTCTTGCACCATCTAGGGCAGCAAATATTAGAAGTTCACTGCCTATGCCATGAAGTGCTTTGTTCCATAAACTTAAGTTGATCTTCTACTAGACTGAGTGTTCCCTTGTTCTTTTACTGCAGGATGTGATGAACAACAGTCCAGCATTCAGCTTATTCACCATCTGTATCCTCAGTTTTCTGTGATCATGTGAATTTGACAAGCTTCCTTCTAACAAGTTTTATCCCCCTTTATGGGGATAGGTATTTTCTGCTTCCTCTTTTTAATCTTATTTATCTTTTTCTATCCCATCCTCACCCAAACAATGTCTGGAAGATCTTCTTACTTACACCTACTCTGCAGGAGAAAGGCAAGAAAGTAAGGGACACAAAGGGAAGACCTTTCATTCTCCTTTCACATATGCTTTCCACACTTCTATGAGAAATCAAAGCCCAGCTGTGTCCTGAGTCAAGTTAGAGGCAGGCAGATCTTACAAATACCATTTTGCACAAGTCAGTCACAAATAGCTCCATTCCACTGATTAACAGACTTTAATGGAATGGATAACGTAAGTAGTGGTGTCCTTTCAAGTTTCACTGTTATCCCTGAAGGTCTTCAGCTGCAGCTAGTTTATTCATCTCATTCTAATTAGACTGGTAAGCTAATTTATCACAGATAAACCATGGAAAGCAAAAAGATTTGAAGTAGAAACATGAGAGCTGAACAAAATATGCCATCTGTGGACTTAAAATACTTTTACTTCCATTCAAGTGGAAAGCTTTTCTTCTTTGCCTACACTGTCACCTTGACCAGAGCTGATGTGTTCACAGCATGTGTACAGAATGAAACATCAAGTTTCACAGCACATACTGTATGACTGAACAATCAGTAAGTCATTGACACCTTTGATGCTTGCTTAGACAAGTTTAAAAAAAAACTTGAGCAGGAGATGCTACTTTCCCAGAAGTCCAGCAACAGCAATTTTAGTACAAAAACAACTGTTAAGAAATTGCTTAAGAACTACAGCTGAATCGGAAAGTATATTAACAGATGAGAAAAAGCAGCAGAAAGGGAAGAGTCTAAAAACTACATTTTATTTTAAGCTAAGCGTTTAGGAGTGAACAGTATAGGACCTTTTGCAAAACAGATGATGTTTACATAACAGTTACTTCCATTTACAGTTTAACATAGTAGATTTTCTCCTCATAACATGATGTTTACACTTCAAACCTTTTTGCTTCTGTTCTGGAATAGTAATCAAGTTCCTTTTGAAGACCCCATTTTGAGTGATGGTAGAAATTGTACCTTTCTTTGCAGGTGGCTCTTCTTCCACAGTAGGCTTATCTTCAAAGCAACGTTTTCTTCTCATTTCCAGTGCAGGTTGCTCACAATCTATGAGTTGGCTGCTTTCAGTCACTTCGTTAGATTCCTGTTCTGCCAATTGTCTTTTAATGACAGTTACAGTGTTATCCTGTGTTAAAATAACATCAATTACTTTGACATTTTAAAGAGCGAGCACTTAAGAGGCTTAATAATCTTTTATATGCAAATATTTTCACAAAACTATCTGGGCAACACTATAGGGGTTGTCAAAGGAACAAGACAGTTTCAGATTAGTTACATAAACCAAAAACAGGTACACCTTCCGATACTAATAAGCACAATGCTTTGCACTGCACAGAAAGTAGAGCAAGAGACTAGGAAGCTACAAAATGCAAGACCTACATGTAAGAGGAGTTTGTTTACCACCTGAAAATAATTTCCAGTGCCAAAAGAGTTGACAAAATTCCCTATTTGTTCATAGGGCAAATGGTCTGCTCTACAAGTTTGTCACTTTCTAGTCATGGTTTGTAGAATTGGAAGTTTTAACTGCCTTCAGCAAAGTCAGATAATTTTTATCATGACAGATTTGGTGCAATTTGAAAGCCCAGTCAATTCTGATGTACATACTTCAAACTATATATTTGACTAAGAATAAAGATTCTTTACTTGCAGGATGACACAACTGGCAAACCATGCTGGTTGCCAAGGACCAATTACTAATCTTTAAGTATTTCATTAAAAAAAAAATAAAAAAATCTATAAAACAGACTGGTCACGTTTTAAGTTTCAAGCCACACAGCTTCCTAGAAACACTGGAAAGAGTTAAGCCTTGCTCTTGGAAGGAGTAGTAATAGGAAGCAGTCATTACAACTCTTATCACTCTCAGCATTCATACTACTAAAAGCTGAGTTGTTGTGGGGCAGAGAGAGGAAAGAGAAGATTAAGTATGGTTAAAGCTTTAAGTTTACAGTGGAAGAGAGAAATGAATCAGAGTGCTGACTAAGTTTCATTTAAAGTAGTCTCAGAACTACCTCAGGTTACTGGACATCAGTCTTAAAAAAAAAAAAAAAATATATATATATATATATATATCTAACTGCATGTTTTCATTTATTTAACATGTATACATTTAGCCAGGCTAGTCTCCTGGCATTCAGTAGACTAGCCAGTTGCAAACTTTATTAATCACATCAGAGATACCCTGGCCATCCACTCTTAGTTCAAACTCTGCTGAATATATTCATATTATTGTTCTTTCTTTGAAAGTGTGTGCACATGGTGGTGCTGAGTGGAACACACTGATTTTTGTTGCCAATTTACACAATCACCATTCTTACCACATTAACTTCTAACTTCAATTAAATTTGACTTTTTGCTGCAGCAAAACCTCCTTTCCTTCCTCTTCCATTCAGGCAAAAATAGAGACAGTGATGTAATCCCTCTGTTTTCACTGTTTAAATCCTCCCAGTTTGAGTTTGTTTTGTTGTTTGTTTTTTTTTCTTTAGAGTAGCTCTTCAGAATCCCATCTACAGTCCTCCAGTAATAAGTTCAGATGACTGCTTCCGAAAATCCCATTTTTCACACGCACCCCACATACCTTTTGCTGTAACTTTCGTTTCAATGCCAACTCACATGCTACCCTTTCAAGCAAGTAGCAATTACTTACAGAAAATTACAATTTTCCAAAATAGTTAAGTCCATTATAAGCATAGATTTAGATTTTTTGTAAATAATAGAAAAATAGAAAATAGTAGAAAACATAGTTGTCTAGGACTTACATAGTCTTTTATGGTCTCTTCTAAATGGGATATCAAATCTTCCAGTCTTACAATAATACAATCTTTTTCCTCCACAATGACCATTAGTTCTTGAATTCTTTTATTCTGTGTATTCATTTTCTTGGAAAAGAAAGAATAGTAGTTCAGTCATCAGTGTTAAATTGTTAAACTATATCATACATTTAGAAGCAAGATCAGCTAAGCTAAGCTGGAAACATAGTATAATAGCATTTTAAGCTATTGGAATTTTGTATTAAAGCAAATAATTTGCACAAGCTTTTCCTTGAGAAAGTTACCTTAGTTGCTGCTTTAAGCTGCTTAGCAGACTCATCCAATTCAGTCATCTGCCTTTCAAAGTCTGTAACAGAAAAAGAAGTCTGCATCAAATAAACAGCCATTACATGGTTTACTCAGTAATCCATTTTTCTAGATCTTCCGATACCTCGGTAGCTTTTTGAATAGATTGATTTATTTTCATATTGACTTCTACTTATAGGGCACATTTCAAAATTTGTTTAGGTTCTTTTGAACAGGAGTATTGGGCCTTGCAACCCATATAAAATATAGATGACTTCTGCTGGAATAATATTTTTGCTACATTTTCCTCTATGAAGGTTCCACAGGATACCTGAAAACACTGCATCAGCAAAATGTAACATATGGGAATTACCATTTATCCATGAAATTAAAAATCAATAATGTTGACATTTTACCCCACAATTCTGCAATTGATAGTTTTAAGTTTTCTCTTAAAAATTAAATAACTAAGGCCTGTGGAGTTGTTCAACCTTAACATAAACAAAACAATTGGTTATCACATCTATACATACGATATGGTTCCAAAATCCCCCTCAACTAGATTATTATTTCTATTTTACAGTAGTCAGATATTTATTTTTTTCTGCCTTTCACAGCACACTTACACCCAGCTCACCTTTGGTTTTCTTTGTCAGCTCTTCTTTGGTCTTAGCTAGTTTAGTGGTAGTTTCTCCCAGCAGTTTTTCAAGCCAATCTATAGCTTTCTGTGGGTCTTTTAGGGACACAACATATCTGTGTGTTTCTTCTGCCTGCTTTTTGATATTAATGACATCATTCTGAAGAGAATCAATAATGCTGTTAGGATCAATAAAGGTTCCTGGCTCCATGCTATGTTCTTCATCCTGAAAGATAATTTATATCATTTAGAAGTGACAAGTAATTACATTATAGTAATTATTTCTACAGAAGATGTGGAAGACCATTATAAATTCAAAGATGTAAGTACAATTCATTCTGGCTTCAATGCCATCTCATGGGTTCATATGCAATTTAATTGCCAGCTTCTGTCTACCTTCACACACAAGTCTCCAATATCAAGTAACAGATACTTTTTTTTTTTTATAGCATTTAATGACCCACCATCACATTCCTTTTTGTATCACCACAAAAGCATCCCCTCAAAATTTAATATAAAAGCTAGTATTCTTTTACAAAACGCGAACATTGAATGAATACAGACAAGTGAAAAAAAATTTTCATCTATCAGTAAAAGCGTGAGGTAAAATAAGTTTGTGGTAACTCAAATTAAGTTGTGCTCAAAATACTGACTTTACCTCTTTCCTCTTTGTTTTTTTAAGAGCAAAGGGTTCTGGACTTACAAGAGCTGGCCTCAAATTAAGAGTCTAGTTATGGCTTAAGTGTGTATACAATTCTCTTTGTTTTATTTGTAGCTACAACAGCCTTAAGAGGGGAAAAAGCCTCTGGTACCACTCCAGTACAGTCCATATATGAGGCCTAAGAAGTCCATTTCAAATAGTTTGAATAGGCCTTTAATGCAATATAATTTATATCGTAATTCCAGCTTTTCCCCTCAATTTCTTTGTAAACAGCAATTTTCACTTTGTGTCGCAGAAATGCGGAAAACCGCAAAGATTCCTAAATGCGTATCTGAGGCCCAGCAACTACTCCTATTAAACGTGATAAATATATCCTGCTGAGGTTAGTTACACAGCACGCAATTCCTTGAAATCATCCTTCTAATCCTTGAGACAAACCATCACCATAACAGGTAGTTAGTAAAAGGGATGTTATTTTGGGGTGGGGGAAGTGGGTTAAAAATACCAGAGGTCCAGCTTGCTCACTGCAAGGCTGATCCTTTAAATTATTTTCTTCAGCTGCATTTTTAGTATAACCATTTACAAGCTCCTTAAAGATTTCCAGGCGTATTTCAGAATTTTCTTCAAGTCGTTCCCGTTCGTATAAAAGGTGCTCTCTACAAAAGGAAAAATATGTCAGGTAGAAGCTAGCCAGTATGAGCTGCTAAGAGGTTGTTTATAGGCAGCTGTACTAATAAAGATCCCCCCCTTGCCTTTATTTTTGGCACAATACAACAACACACTGAACAGTGTTGCTACACCAAAATAGAAGTATATTTCTTCCACATACACCCCTGAAGAATGAGTAAGAGAAATGTATACACAGTTTATGAATAGCACTTAACTATAAGCATTTTTTCTAACCTTCTAAAGCCAGAATACCTGTTTGGAGTATCACTAAGACTGCAGTAACCAAAGAATTTGAAAGTGTCACTCTTTCTAGAGACATCCTACCAAGAAAGCTCTTCTCTTAGGGAGAGCTCTACAGGAACAAATACTGCTTACAAATTCCACACAACCCCCTTACCCACCCCCCTAAAGAAATCAAAGCTTTCCCTGATCTCATAGTCCAAACAGAAACTGATATTAATAGAAGCAGTACATCTAGCAGAAGAGTGTAGCCTCTCATGGCCAAGAGAGGGATTTAAGACAAATGAATATACTTTCATTTTTTTTAACCAGTAGCTTTAAAAATGACTTAAAGCTAACTTACTTGAAATCCATTTCCTGCTCAGCAAAATATTGGGTAAATTCTTGTGTCACTTCTTCACGAATTTTTAGTTCCAGAAGTAGCTTATTCTTCTTTTCAGCAATAAGTTTGTCCTTCAAATATTGTATGAGATTCACCATCGCCTAGAATTACCATTAGTATTAAGTTTTTCATAAAGAAATGGTTTCTCAGTAGTGAGATTCCTCAAACACTACAACAACACTTTTACTCTTTCAACTGACAGATGTTCTTCAGTTTTTATTAGCTTATTCATAAACAGGAGAATTCATGAGTAGATTGAAATATCTGTTTGATACTAGCACAGCAATTTTTAAGTTTGCACGGAGTAGGTATTTGCAAAGAACATTAAGTTTATTACAAGAATTCTTGAAGTTGTCTTAAAAAACAGGCTTAAGCTCCACAGTCTTTGGCTCTTGTTTTCCACATGCTCACTTTTGGGACAATATTAATGAAGCCTCCACAAAACATTCTCTAGTCCCCTGTTCCCTCCTCCTTGTCTTCCCTAAAAGTGACTAAAATTGCTGTTCCTTAAAGAATAGTTTTCAGAGTTTTCTTGTGCATGGAATACAAAGGAATAGTCTTCTGTACTGCTAAAAAAACCCAGGTAATACTTGCTGTGCATTGACCATAGGTTACCAAAAGGAGAGAAAGCCAAATGTGCAATTCTTACTGCTCAGTCTGTATTTAGACATATTTCATAGTTTTTTGCCATAATAGGCACAAAGTTATGAGTAATCCCACTTTTAGTTCTTAATACTGGATTTAGGTAGAATAAGGGTGATCAAAAAAAAAGAAAAAAGCGATAGATGGAGGAAACTGCAAGAAGAATACCTTCCTTTGAGACTCCATACTACACTAGTTCTTAAAGTAGTCTTGGCACATACCATATATCGCTCCTCTCCAATAACAACTTCATTTTCTTCATGTTTCTGGACTGCTTCTTCTCTTGACATATTATGCTGTTCCTCCATCTCATCATTATCATCTTCAATCACATCTTCTAAGCTCCTGTCCCATAGGATAGTAGCTCTTTGTCTTGGGATTGGAATTTTTGTGTCATTAGGTAGTGATGATTCTCCTGCTGATTTCTGGCCAAACGACTGATCTTGAAGAACAGATGAATCCATAACTACAACCTACCCAGAAAATAAAGAACAAGTTCATCAGTACTTTTTTGAACTTCTACTGGCATTTCCTAGAGATACCTGTTGAACTTTCCTATAGGTCTCCTAAGCACAGTACTCCCTCAGCATACTCTCTGTTCAGAGTCACTACTTAAACTACGAAGTGACTCCTTTGTACTCTAACTGGAAACTGGTCTAACTCTTCTTCTGATCCCAGGAACACAAACTTTCACCAGCTGGACAACCTGCAAGATGGTTGCCACCTCATGCACCAACAGATTTCTGTATATTCTATACTTTGAGTTTCTAGTTGCATTACACAAATGTCATAATACAAGTTCTGTTCCTTGCACAACTACCACCCTTACAGTCTGTTCCTTCTAGTGTTGTATATAGCCTGCTTAGATGAGTCCACATTCTAAAGGCCTGGATATATTGTCTTCAACAGAAGTTTTCCGTGTCTTCCATTGAGGCTGCAGCACTGATCCCTGATACTTTCACCTTTGAACTTTGTCAGGGTTATATCACTGTGCTTACTCTTACTCATTCTATTTAACCTCTGCCTTCCTAGTAAGGCCTCCATAGATATAAGATGACTTTTTAAACACTCTTTGGTGCTCAACCTGCTTTATCAAGGGAGCAGTATTCCAGATTAAGATAGCAATAGTATACAGGGCAGCTAGAATTGCTCCTAGGTGAGAGCATGTTACGAGTACAGAAGAAAAATTTACCTAGATCTCAGGGAATTTCTTCCAAATAAAGCAAATGTCTTGTTAGGCTGGACAGTTTATACGAGTTATGGATTTTCAGTAGATGCTCCCACACCCGCAAGAAAAAGGTCCTAATAAAGCCTTTTTAAAAGCTTTACAAGGAAACAAAGCCTGACTAGGAGTAACTAGAAGACATGATTGCAATATGAGACAGAAAAATCCAGTAACTAAATTTATATTCTTAGAAGTGAGAGAACCTGCTTTTTAAATGCAGGTCATAAGTACTGAACAACAAGACAAAGTACAACACACTTACTTTTTGTGCAATGGCCGAGAACTTTAGCACATTGAATGTTTCATCATATGCTGAAGCACATTGGCTTATGTTTACCATCATGTATACCTTCCCCTTTCCACTGAAGAATCCTTGAAGGAAATGAGTTAACTTACTCTCTCGAAAGGGTATGTGCTGTTGCAACCTTTAAAGACAAAAGAACAGATGACCAGAAGTTTAATAATTTCCCATCAGTGTAAGAGCTATCCAGCATGAAGATTTAAAGATATTTATAACAGCAGTAGTCTTTAAAGTAATTAAAATTATTTTGGACCAGGACATAGCTGTTTGTGAACATGTTGTTTGGCTGTTGTGACTGCTGCTTTAGCCATTATCTCAGATAGGCTACAGCAATACAATGGGAGCACTTAAACCAAAAGCACATTCAACACTTAACCTAGGGTAGGTCACATAGCCTCATGCTACATCAAACTATACTACACCTCTCTTTTCCTTGCCACATTGATGAAAAGGACATATCTAGTTCTAGGCATGCAGAATCCAATGTTATCAGAGATGTCTCTCACTCAGTATCTTGCCTCTGAGAATGGACAATAGCAAGTGCCTACACAAGAAAATGAATATATGCCAAACCCATGGAGAAACTTTTCAGAACTTCTTCCCTAATCCCCCAGCAGTTTGGCATTTCCTAAATCAGAAGCTGTGCCCTTGAATTTAACAGCTGGTGATGTAGCTTTTGATGCTTGTAGGAAATTTTATGAGAATTCCTAAAACATGACTAAACACACACTTGCCACTGAATAGGTTGCCTGCATTTTGGACACGACAGCTATTTAGTTACATGAATAGTGCTACAGAACTCAGCAAGACAGCAACACTCCTGCTAGAATACATATATGTCTCATAAGTAGTTCTGCTGCAAGACTGATAAACAAGAATAATTTAAGAAATTTACTGCTTCCTATTCAATTTGCAAGGGACATCTCTTAAAACTTTAAGAGATCGTGTTTTAAAGTATTTCTTCTATATTGTTAAAATTCCAAGTTATTAAGAACAGAAAAAGACATTCTGAATACATTAACAGCCCTCTAAGCAGCTGCTAGCTTTATGCATACTTCCTACCTGGAAAGAACAGGAAGATAAGATACTGTAAATTCACAAAACAGGGTTAATCAGGAACACACACCAGCAAAACTTTTTCACCTTCAGGTGTGATAGACTTTGAATAGGCTATCAAGAACAGTGTTACGGAGTAAGCAAATTTGGTAAAGCACATTCAGGCATATCAATCAGCAGACAGAGTTCATTTAACTTCTGAGACAGGAATAGAACTTTAAATTAGAACCAGAAAGCAGTTCCTGGACAGTTACATCCAGCTGTGACTATATATTGTACTGTTTTTTTAGACAGCTAACTTTTTGTGTTATTTTACTCTTATTTAGATCCCCAAGCTAGGGCAGAAATAGTGGGGACAGCTTTCTTTTGCCTGTATATAGTTAGATTAGGAGGAGAGTGTCAAAATTTTGTCAAGATTTAGAAGAAACAAACAAATTTTGTCAAAGAAGGCACAGTTATGATGACATAACAATATTCTGCTGATGAAAGATGTTACACTAGAAGTACACAGAAAATTGAGTTAGTTCAAAAAGGAGTAATAAAAGGCTGAAGATTTGACTCTTACTATGACACTTGTGAAAAGGGGGTTTTAAACTTATTTCAAAGTTTGTTTGACAAGCCAAGCTCAGAAGAAGAAAGTTAAATTGAAATCTATGTTAGTATGTTTAAACAATCTTAGAATTTGAATGATTTAATTAAAGAGTTAAACAAGACAAGTTTAAAGATAACTTCAGTAGATCAAGATTTCATAAGCCTATATTTTTACCAAAAACTAGTAGTTAGTATTGTGTATTTTAAACAATAGCTTTTAAATGTCAAAGGCGATACCCAAAAACCACAACCAGTTTGAAATTCGTAGGACTTACTTTGACTGTTGACAGTTCTTGAGTGCATTAATACACTTGCCTAGAATCAGGAGAGAGGTGTTTATATTTCCACTCTCTTTCAGTCTATCACCTTCATTGTGGGTCTTGGTATATCTTTCTGAACCAGCAAGATCACACATTGACAATCTGAAAGCAGACAAGGAAAATTAACTTTATTTACCTTAGAACATGCAAAAATTGTTCACTTTTAAGAACAATCATTTTTTTTAAAGGAAGAATTTCTTGATCTTCATCTGCATGAACCCTTCTATCCTTTTTAATGTTGCTTACCCAATCAAATTTCGAAATACTTCTGGCCAAACCATTTCCCAACACACTTCCTATTTCCCCTCTCCCCATCGCTTCCTTTTGAGTTCAGGAGTATAGCAGACTACCAGAGCCTCGTGCTGAACATCATTGCCATCCAATAGCTTAAGGTAGAGGGTCAAGTACTGTATGAGTGTAGAAAGTGGGGAAACCAACACACATACATGAGGCACCCAGGGAGCACTGGGTGTACAGTACCAGTACACCAATATGGAAGATCATTGACAACTTCATCACAGAAGAAGAGAGAGACTTTGCTCTGAACTTACTCATTGACTCGGGTCACTAGTGGTGCTCTTGAATCTTCAATTTTTAGTAACTTAATTGTGAATACACTGTGGCTAAAAAGGAGAAGTTTAAGTCAGCAGAGACCTTATAAAGTAGACTAATACCTTCAAAATATTTTTAGCCTTTACATCTGCTCAAAACACGTTGACATTTGTCAAAGTATCTAAACATATGCTCTATCAGACACAAACTTTTAAAGCAACATTTAGGTAGCACTAATTTTGCTTTTTCCTCAGACATTTAGGTGGAATAAAGCAAAGTGCTTTTGCTTGAAGGACAGTATTCAATAAAACGCTATTAGCTTTTGTACATGTTCCATCTTGCTGAAGAACTGAATCCTTTTGGCTTAAAGCACTGGGTCACATACTGCTAAAGGACACTAACACTGAAACCCAGGTATCTGGACCTTGTTAAAGTTTTTTCCCCTCCTAAAATTCACAAGCCATATTTTAGTTTCTCCTTCCTCCCACACAGCATCCTATGCCAAATGATCACTCAAAATGTTTCTCACCTTCTGCTGGAGCAAGCATTTAGTTTCGTGCTTGCAATACTCTGGTGTTTCAATCCCAGTTTCAGAAGTCTAAAAGCTTCTTTAGCATCAGAAATCTGAACCCACTGCACACCTTTAGGAAGAATAAACATGATAGTCTTGTAAATATCATTATCAAAAAGAAAGAAGTAGGGCATAATGTATGCATACCAAGAATAATACATTCACTTCAGATGTACAAACATTTTACTAAGTCTGCTTCAGACAGAAATTATATGATGACAAATATCAACATTTCTCTTTCTGTGGAAAAGGAAAGACAAGTGTATCGCATGATTTCATGCTATTAGCACACTAAAAAATGTTCCATCTTAATTAAGTTTCCATCAGTTTTTTTCCATGGCCAGAAATAAACTACATTATAGGTTTGATTAAACTAGAGTACTGTAATATGTAATTTGTAGACAGATTTAAACTTTCTCACATATTCTCTGAAGTCTGTTTTTCTACAGAAAATAACTAAAAAAAAAATAAATAAAAAATGAAAAAAAATTGCCTCAACGGTTCTTATCTAAACAACTTTTGGAGTCTTTTTAAGAAAATGGAAAAAACCCCAAACCACTAACTATTTTGTCAATTTTTTTTCAATATTCCTCCCTTTCAAAGAAATATCAAGACAGTGGAATGCATTAATTTTAAGGCTTTTAAGAGTTACAGTCAAGAATAAAGAGAAAATGCTATTAAAGGTACAGATATTTCTATGTATGTAGATTGTTGCCTTTCATACTCAAGGCAGACATTTGTAGTGCCACAGTGAATGCAGTTAGGCATTTTCTAATCTAGAGAGAAACATTATTACAGGAAGACTAACTTTTCAAATTACATATTTGGCAATCTGCAGTGTATTCTAATCACCTTTTACATAAGAACATCCCTTGATGTCTTGAGCAAGGCGTAGTGGTTTTCTTTTCTTGTCATTTGCTACAGGAATCAGTAGATCATAAAAACATTCATTGTAAATCTCAAAAAATGAAACCCAAACTGAAAACTTGATGTCATTTTTCACAGTTGTGCTAGTCTCTTCCAAGTCTTTTAGGCCTTCTTCTAAATCTGCCAAGTACAAAACACTGAGTCAGTATAGGCCTAGTAAAGTGAATTTCATTTAAAAAAATTAATAAGTGAAAACTGATATTACATCAGTCTTCTAAGAAATCCAAACAAAACCCACCACGCTTACACTACACAAAAATCCACTGATATTTTCCTTCACTTCCTCAGGTATCTGGAAGTCACATGCTTACCCTACATATTTGCAAGAGCCATTTACCATTTCCTTTTCCAGAGACAAATTCTATCAAACACCTACAGTTTAGTTAGAATTATTCAAGTCTCTTCAATATCTTTAGGAGACAGACTTAAATGGACAAGTACATTTCTTTCTGACTTTTTAAAGCAAACCTAGTACTTAGGTGTTTTTTAAATGCTAGAATTAGGTTTATCTAATTACACAGAGGTACTCTAAAAGCCTGTCATACCACTAGGGCCCATAGCAGAAGTAGTACTACTTTTCCTTACTATAGTTTCATGTCATTTAATGTCTGTTCTGATGGTATTCATATGGATAAACATTTTATCACTGTGTTTTCTGCTCAGATGACTTGCTCATTATTCAATTCACAGGCATATAAAAATGCCAAGTAGTCATTATTAACATAGGCCAGAAGTCAGTTAGTGATATTAAGACAGCTTCTTTGTCAGTTTTAAATGCAATTTAATATAAAACTTACCATTAGACTCAACTGGTGCTTTGTTGTTAGCGCTATTTTGATAGTCTGCCTACAAAAGAGAACAGACACTTTAAGATAAGTTGTTGACAGTACATTATCAGTATACCACCAGTTACTTTTCCAACAGCTTTATTGTCCTACTAGATAGGAATACAGCGTAATTGCAATAAGCCAATACAAATATTCTGGCTACATATAATTTCTAGTTCAAAGCACCTATATACTCCTATTGAAAGGGTTGTTCTTACCTTAATACTCATTCCTGATGCTGAGAGTCCTGGAATTTATTATTGGTATTTTGCCAATTATTCAGGATTCCATCTCCTACAGCTTACTAGGTCAACTCTCAGAATCAGGTAAATACAGAACACTTGTTCACTTAAGTGAGCAACTTACTGCTTCATGATACAGGCTGTAGAAACCTTTCACAGTTGAAATAAAGTCTAGGTTTTAGAAAGAGAAGGAAAATTTTCTTCTACTGAACTCTTTAAAAATAAAAGTAAAACAAATCCCTGCAGCTTGAGCTTATGAGGTTCATACACATACACTCTGTTCCTAGTCTTAGTTTTGGTTGGTTATTGTAGGCACAGAACTGCAAGGATGCACAACTCATCAAAACCAGTATGCTTAAGAGAAGAAACTTATGTTTTATCAAGAGTATATTTCATATAAAGCTGAGATTCCATAAAGCGATTCCTGAAATAGTTAAATATTTATTTAATCAAAAATTTTAGGGGTAAGCTTTACACATATAAAACACCCACCCAAACCTGTCACTGTTGAAGTGGATGCAAACTTTGCCACCAAATTTATAGGCTGAAGCATTGTTCCTACAACCACAGTTTTAGAAACTAGAGAGGACATACATATGTATTCAAACATACGTGACAGGTTTTTTTGAATTCTTTAAAGACTGCTAGAGCTATAGTTAACATAGGCCTGTGCTTTTGAAGTGAAGTCTTGAAGAATTTTGCTGCCACCTGCCTTCCACACTGGAGAAGTCCAGTTAACTAACTCATGGATAAAAATCAAGGCTATTAAATATACTCCATGCACAACTGTCAGAACCCTCCGTTATAACCTCGCATACCACTAGGGAAATGCTTCATTCCTTACATTAAAAATAATTTAAAAAACCCCCTACAACAATCCCTTTCTAGTTCCAATTCCTAGCATACGCTCAGGTTGTTTGGTTTGTTTGTTTGGATTGTTTTTTTTAATATTATTCCATTCACTTCAGAATTAAAAACATGAAGAAAAAGATATGCTTATACAAAACACATATCCCCATAAGTGTAATTGAACTAAACAGCTTTAGAATTATAGCCAACTCATAAAACTGAAATGTATTTCTGGATGGCTCAACAGTGATCTGTTTAAGAATAAAGTCCAGCAGAAACCCATTTTAATTCAAATCTTTATAAGTCTACTGGCTTTATAGCTCTTCTGTTTCAAAAAAAAAAAAAAAAAAAATTATTCCTTTGAGGATATTTGCCAAACTGGAAGAGGGGAACAACCTCAAAATCATTAATTTCTTTCAAATATACTGACAGGAAATTGTTTAAAAGAGCAGACCTATTAGCATCCTCACAGACGGGGAAACTATTTGCATTCAGTCCTTATGAAGCATCAGTAACCCCAGAGGATAAATTATCAGGTGATCAAGCTATAGAATAAAAAGCTTAGAGTTTACATCCTATCAGGTATTCAGCCACACGACAGAAATCCACAGAATAGGGTTCGTCAGCTCTACTGCTCACTTTACTGTCAATCTGAATAGCTGGCTGACAACAACTAGACACATCCATGCTTAAATAGAGACAGTCTCTTCACACTGAAAAATGAACATGGTACCATTGAGCTATCTAAAGATGTGTGCACCCATCAGCATAGAAAGAAGTGCTCCCCTACCTCTTTCATTAGGCGAAGTAGGGAATTTTTAATAGTAGTTTCTTCTCTCACTTGGTCTTTAGTCAGCTTTATATAATCTCTGCACCGATGGGGCTTGAGATCCATTGCTGTGTATAGCTTTCCTTGAATACTTTTAAACAACATATCCATAGTCCTTGGCAGAATACCAACATCATCTTCTGTCCCTGTAAGCAAAATACAAGAAAAAGATCTTAATTATTACTGTGAACAAGGTATACAGATAAATGAAGATAGAAAAATAAGATTCTAATCTAAGATAAGATAGATTCTAATCTCAAGGCATACATGAGGAACTTGGAGCCACTTACAGCATGAAACAGGGTTTTTTGTATTCTCAAGGTATCAGAAATAGAAATGTCACTAGAGTGTTTTGAAAGGTATTTGGCTTTCAGTAACAGCTCATGCTCTACCACTTAGTAAGTAAGCATAATACAAACAAAAAACTGCTGGGGTTTTCTCCATAAACTTAGTTTTAAGGGAAAAAACCTCAAACAAACCACAGCCAACAGACATTTAATAGATATTTGCAGTTTTTCCAATCACACTTCATAGGCTGCCTTCACTCTCTCTCTCTCAAGAGGTTAATCTTGAAATACAACTGATGACTGATTTCTCAGCTGTAATCTTGTACTAATGCCACAGACCCTAAAAAAAGTTCTAGAAATCTTGTGAAGACACACTTCTTTCCCCGTCCCAGACCCTTTCCTTAGGTCATGCTCCTTTTGTACCTGAAAGGCAAAAAGGAGTCAAATAAAAGCCTTGCTTTTAGTGCACACTTCATCTTTCTAAATCCAGATGCAAGTTTAAAAAGGGTTCACTTAACTTTGATTTCTAACCCAGAGAGAAGAAGGCAAAGGAGGGAAGAGTGGAAGAGAAACTACTGCCCTATCTCAGACTCCAACAGAGGATGGAAGATGATGCCGTCAGTTTCTCCAACTCCTGAGACAGATAGGCTTTTATCAGTTACAGTACTAGTTGTGTTGCCCAAGTCAGAACCTATGAAAAATCTGGTTGGCACTCAAACACCAAGCTAGTAACTGAATTAACACATTAAGTTCAAGTACTGTTGCATAATATTTGTTTCTCCTCATGTCCAATCTTCTCTAATATTTTTTTGTTTATTGTAAGGCCACTTGTAATTCAACTTAACATGAACAAAATAACAGTCACTGGCAGACAATGAACAGTCTTAAAAAACTGCTTCATGCTTCACTTAAGTCCTTTGCCATTGACTGAATACAGGCTTCCATGTAATATCAAAGTGGAAAGACTATATTGACAATAGTGGGAATAACAGAACAGGCAACATTCTGCCCTGCCAATTCTTATCACAAGTGGATAGTCAAGTCCTAAAAATATAACACCACAAAAGAGTCTCCAGAGTCTGAGAAGATACGAATCAAAAATCTCTTGAAAAGCCACAACACATACACCAAATGTACCTCAAACTAGTCAAGCATAGGGGACGGTACATGTCAGGAATTTTGGTTTTAGTTATTTACCTATTATTTATTAGGACAGGAAAGAGCATCCCATTATTGCCCCAGATTAATGATAACTGAAAGTACTGGCCTTCAGTTATAATGCACTTAATAGGAGATCACTTAGAAGACAATGTTAGTTCAATATTGATTCAAAGATCAATTTCATACAGCACAAAATTCATTGTCCTTCTACTACTTCTGTGTATAAAATTAGTATAATATCTAGAACTGTCCTTCCATTATAGGTGAAATTGTTTCCATGTGAATGAAATCACTTTGTTAAAGTGCTTTGAAAAAAATTAAAGAATGACATATTCTGATCAGAAAGGATTTTACTTATACCTTGGAACGTGTAGGTTTTCCCAGCATTTGTAACTCCATATGTAAAAATAAGGCGATTATATCCATCCAAGAAATCTTGCACTGGTTGCTTCATGGTACCTTCAAAGAATTCTTCTTGAGTTGTTTCAGGTCCAAATACCTGAGTATTACCAAGAAACATTTTTATTTTGTTTAAGCAATCATGGGAGACTTTCAAAGAATCTTTTAAATTCTATAGGTTTATAATCTTAAAAGACTATTGACAGTAAAAAAAAAAAAAAAAATCTAGTTTGCTTGGTGTTAAATAATAAAAGTTAAACAACTTTTTCCCGGAATAAATTAAAAACTTTTTAAGACAATGCATTTACTCGTGAAAAAGTGAACTTCTGTCCAGCAGTTTTTTCACTTAGTCGATTCAAATAGTTTTTTGGAGGCTTCAGTATGATGCTTGTTGAGTCTTCAATTGAAATGTAGTCCTATTAAAAGGAAGCACAAGCAACACAGGCATGAAAAGAGGATACAGAATTCAGCTTACAGGAAAAAAAAAAAAAATATCCAACACCTATACTTCTGAAGTATTTTTAAACTAAATATCACACCTGCAATTCATTTTCTCTTTCCAACGATGTAAATGGCCTAATACGCAGACAAACTTGTATGTGTCCCTTAGTCGTCAAACTTCTCCTCTTAAATAAAAAAAAGAATTAAGGAAGTTAGAGATTTGACTAGATTCTTTGTTTGACAGCTAGCATGCTAATGCAGTTTTATTTTCATCAGGCTATTTTAAACAGACTTATTTGATGACATGGGAACCAAAAGTAATTCACTACATCAGTTTTTACAAGTGCTTAGGCCCCTGTACAAGTTCACTGTTGATAACTTAGAGTTAATAAACTTGCAGAAGATATACATACACTACATTCAGGCCAACTACAGATCAAGAATGAAACCCACAAAACATTCTATGATTAAGCTGCCCTGAACTGGCAATTAGCCTCATTCACAGAAGACTGATGCACCCCATAAGTTCCCAATGCAGTGCCACACAACTTCACCTAATCCTATGTAACTCCTCCAAATTAAAAACATACTGAAGATCCTTTTTGTCTTCTCTGTAAAATTCTCAGTATTCTTATCAATAAAAGACTAAAAAAAAAAGTCTAACCAGTGCAAACATTAAAGCTTTCTTACCTGGCTTGTGTCTGAGCTTGAAGAAACCAAAGAAAATTCGGAAGAGAGATCTGTTTTAATGTCTTCCACATCTACTGGTCCTGTTCTTTCAGGCAGTTCCTCACTATTCATATAAGATGGTCTCAGAAATTTCTCATTATCCAAAGTCAGTTCCATCCTGCAAGATAAAATAAAAACTATTTTTTGCTCTCTGATCACATGATGTAGAGCTTCTGAAGTCCCTTAGAAGATAAGTCAATTTGAGGCTGATAGCTGCCATGTTTTTAAGGAAAAAGCTTTCTTCATCCTATTCATAATTTACATAGCAAGTTTCTAATAGCTGGAGAGAGGGTCTGCAGAGGAGTTTGCATCATGATGAAACAAGAACAGCCATTTCTTGTTCAATGAAAAGCAACTGTTTACCTGGGAAAAGCCCGACACATACCATAACCTTGTTAAAAAGCATCGGACAAGGAAGCTATAATTTAAAAAAAATAAAAATATATATAAAAAAAAAAATGATGCTGTTCCACATCTGCTTCTCCATCAGCCCATTATAGTGTCAATTTAGAATAAAAGCTCATTGCAAGAGTAATCCAAACTCCAAGGTTATCTCTGCAGGACCTGACAAATAGTTGGTATTATAAAGCTAACACAATGTAGCTTAACACAAGACAGAGTTCAGAAACATTCCAAAAACTAATAGATAGTTTTAGCTATTAAGGGGACACTAGAAAATTGATTACCTCATGCTAGAGTACAAGACAAAAGTATTGCTTTTTAGCAATTTTTTTCAGTCACTTTACAGATCAATAATTCATTTATTAATTCATAATTTAATGATTTTTGTGCATATCAGAATCTGGGCAGTGAAAGTTTGCTATAGAAAACAAAAGTAAATTGATTCAGTGCTGACAGCAGACACGTAAAGTTTAAAAATAACTTTTTAAAAGTGCATTTTAATTTAAAATATTAGCATATTTTTCTGTACTTTACTCTCCTACTGCTTTTTCCTGTGATATTACAGATGCGACTTGCCAGTTTTTGTTACAGATTAAAATAACTCATTGGGCAATTACACATAGACTATAGTGGCAAGTGTTCTAGCAATTAGACACCTACCACACAGCCTACTACAGTTTTGAAGCTTCAGACACAATGGCTCAATGGTCTTCTAATACTAGAGTTTTGTGTCTATGCTACAGCAATGCATATACATTGTCTCTCTAAATACTAATGGAAAATACACAGTGTTCATTTAAACAATGGACAAACCAGGGCTGGTTCAAATCCCCTTTGCACAGGAAGAGCATTGCCTGTTAAGCAGTCATAAAATTTCTGTTTCCCCCAGCATAAAAGCTGCAACATGTCTGCACTTCAGTGTCAAAACACTTAACAGTTCAGTCTTCCTGTTATGTCCTGTAAAAGGCAGATACAGGACTTCATGAAGCTAGACAAATGTCACCAAGGTGGAAATGAGGTAAAGCTATACATGAACTAAGCAGCAACATTTACTTTGTTTCTTCTAATCTACAGGTTTTACTTTTATCAGTCGACTGTATGAAAACAATGAAAAACTCGGCCTGAAACGTTATCACAGCTTGAACAAACACTAACCTGTGAATCAGCTACGACTGGCAAGAAACATACCTGTGCTGTCACGGTCTAGAAGCCTTACTCAACAGCTACACAAAGTCACACTGCAACACTCTTATCGGGCCTTTAACAGGAAACACATTCGTTAGATAAATGACATTTTAGTTGCTGTAAATAAAATTGTATTTTATAGTGCAATTTGTCCAGATGATGCTTTCACTCCGTGCCCTTTTACATAAGGGGCACAAGGCAAACGTTAAGCGATGCACGCAAAGCTGGAGCTGAAGGTGTTCGTACGAGCCCAGCACCCAGACCAGCCAGGTCCAACCCTTACGCTTAAAAAAAAAAACAAAGGGGAATTTTCCCTCTGCAAATACCAATCTTCCACGCCCGGGCTCCGCGCCGTTTCCCCGTTCCTAGGGACGCGGCCGCACGGCTTTGCCAGCGCCCCTGGGCCGGGCGTTACCGGCCGTTGGCGCAGCGCGCGGCGGGGCCGGAGAGCTTCCCCACACCCCCGGGGCGTCTGACCCACCGGAACGCCTGTGACCGCGGCCGCAGGAGGGCGAGGAGAGGAGAGGGGAGGGAAGAAGCCTCAGCCCCG